GAATATCGCGTAACTTGGTCTTTGGTTAAAGCTCTCTAAGAAATGATCTTCACATTTTTTGTTATTGGAAGAGCAAATAAATTGAGCGTTAACACCCGCCATATTCATCGTAGCATAGAACACCAACATCGGCCATCTTGTAAAATTTCTAACTACATCCTAAGTGGCACATAATTTACCTAAGAGATCTTCTGAGTACGATCATAATAAGAGATAATCTTGGGTACATCAATTTCATCATCATGATGCAAATTAGATATGAGAATATCATTCCGATACTTCCTAGGAACATCCTTGGAAACCGAATAATGAAGAATGCATAGTCTTGGCAAATTCTATTGCCAACTGGCAATATTTTTATTTCATACTTATTAAGAATATATTGCCTAAAAGAACTATCCTCTTTCATCTCTAGTTATTAAATTGTCAAATGGAATGCATTTTGTTACAAAAAAAAGTGATCGATCTTGAGACATCAGCAATTAAAATCACTCAATTCTGAATCCGGCTATGGCATACAATTTGGTACTTAGCCTAGCAATTTTCATAGTACCTGCCAGATATAACAAATCAAAAATATCGGTTGATTTGACTCTTATTTCCCTGAAACAATTTTAGGAGATCCTGACTATGTAGAAATTTGTATTTTCAACAATATTTTAAAATAGAACTGTTTTAACATTTTTCTGTATTTTTTAATGCCAGGTAAATGAATAATTATTGAGTGGTTCCATCCTTGCCAACAAATGAAGGCACTATTAGGTTTTTTGAGATATGAGTCTCACAGATCCGGCACATGAGTATTGACTATTTTTGCTTCACAAAAAAATAACTGCAATTCGCACAAGCCCCAAAGCTATATCTTTACTAATAACCTAAATATCGCCCGATTGCAACCAGAATGAGACACACTGTATCGTGCGTTCAATTTATCTTGATACGATTTTAATTGGCTGTAACTTTTTTGTTTTTAGAGATATCAAGGTAAACAAAAAAACAAAATGTAGGGTTAGTAGCCAAGTTTCTTTCCAAGTGACATATAAAACAAAACACTATCAATTTTCTGACATACAAGCCTACATCCTTTTTTATAAAATGGATCCCGATTACAATGATGCAACACACATTATATCTTAGTCCATTCGTTTTTGACAAATCGGCAAAAATAGGAAATTTTTATGTTTTATGTTTGACTTATTAGTAAACAACGTTTGATGTTTGAATTATTGTCCATGTCGTTATTGTTAAAATCGATTTTCGCGAATTTAGCACCCATGAAAGGAGTGATATGCTTCAAGTATACTTTCTAAATAATAAAAGTGCAACCGCAGCTCATCGTCAGTATATCAGACTTTATCCAGAGCGCTGAGCTCCTTCAAAACAGAAACGGTAAGGTATTAAATGCTGAAAATGCATAATTTTAATGAAGAAAATAAGGCAAACATATTAGGATCCTATGAAGCACATCCAGTTTCCTCTATTAGTAGAATATATGAAGAGACAGGTATTTCTCGGGGATCAATCCACTCAGTTTTGAAAGATTATCAATATAATATATATAATAAACTAAGGGCAGAACAATCTCAAAGGAGGATGCACTTTGGTTTGGATTTTTTAAGCAGACATAATGAGAATTATATTTTTTTGCAAAACATTTTATGGACTGATAAACCTTTGTTCTCTACAAGAAAGACGACATACGCGATATTGGTACTTCAATAATCCTAGACTAATACACTAAATAAAAACCCAAGGGTACGAATCAATTAATGTACGGTGTGGCGTCATAGATGGGTATATTTTGGATGCCATATGTACAGATCAAAAGTTAACTCTTGCAACTCTTAAAGCACCAAATAGAACAATATATAATAAATTTACTTCTAAATATATCAACGCTGATTATATAGCCGCAAAACGGAGCCTTTCCTCACAATATTGTGCAAGTGCAAAAATTTTCTTAACTTACCAATAGTCTCGACTTAACTTTAATGGATTTTTTCTTTTGGGAATACATAAATAATCACGAATAGTTAGTGTGTCTTGTCATGTTTAGTGTTTTTGTTCTACTTTAATTTGTAAATAATTATTGTTGTCGCAGTCAGTCAGATATTCTATTAAACACATATTTATTATGGAGGGTGTTATATTAAAAAAAAAGATGTAGGCTAATATGTCAAAAAATTGATGGTATTTTGTTTTATATGACACTTGTAAAAAAAACTTGGCTACTAACCCTACTTTTTTTTTGTTTACTTTGATAACTCTAAAAACAAAAAAGTTACAGTCATTTAAAATGTTATCAAGATAAATTAAAAGCACTGTACAGTAGAAAAAAACGTAAACGTCTTAAATTTAATTTTACATAAATTATGATCGTAATCTAGCAGACATTAGGAAAAAATTTACATCCCTTGAACAAGTTATCTTTTGAAATGTAGGCATTTTATGTCGATTTGAAAATATTTAGAATTTGTACCAATAACTAACCAAAAGCATAAACGGAATAACCCAAAAATACAGTAATTACGGTGTTATGGGAAACGCCACTTTAGGGTAAACTATTTAATCGATTGTTAAAGTTAAAATTATTTATTAATTTAGATATATGAATTTCAATAAACATACTAATAACCTATTATTATTAATGATTTAAAATTAATTTTAGTTTTTACCACTACTGGAGAAATTATTAGTAATTTAAACTAAAAAGCATATCCACGTTCTATTGTTATATTCTGGCGCCATTTGGCTTGCAATGAGCTTAACAAAATATTGAATGTCTGAATATACAGAGTGGCTTCAAAAGTTGGTCAATCGCTTAACCGTAAATCTTTCCTGCTAAAATAATAGGACTTTTCTACAGCACCTTCCATTTGAACGTTTTGTTTTCAGTACGCAGAGTTTCAAAGTTGACGTATTAAAACACATATTTAATAATAATCCCGTCATTTATATTAATTTTCAAATTATGTTTAATAAGTGAGTGTCTAAAGAAATTTAAAAAACGTTTTGCAAAGAATCAAATCAAAAGTCGCCCAAGTCTATATCTCAGGAATTATTAGACTTAAATTTATAAAATTTAGTGTACGGAAGTTGCTAATTAGGTTGGCTCCAATTTTGACCAAGGCGACGCTGCCACAATATGTTTTTTCCTAAGCTACTAGACTTTCTTATTTTGGATAGGAATATGTTTTGATAAAGTTAAGAGTCAGTCAAGGTATTGGGATTCCTTTTGTATACTTTAGTTTTGGGGTGACCCCAAAGAAAAAATCTAGAGGACCTAAATCTGGTAAACGAGAGGGCCACTCGATAGTCGCTCTTCGTTCGATCCACCGATTTGGAAAAGCTTATTGGATCCTTGCATCCAAAAAAATTATATTCTTCACCGGTGAGAACGTCATTGATAATAAAGTTCACTGGCAAGTCGAAGAAACCACGATTTTTCTGCTCCTCTGTCTGTTGTCTGCATTTCTGACCAATTCATTAGTGTTAAATTTGGAAACAAACTAATAAAGACTTTACTGAAAATTGCTAGTGAATTGTAATAGCTATGTCCAATTCAAAAAATGTAGGTTGGAAAATTTTTAAAGAACTTTAAATAGCAAACTTCAGATCATAAAATGTGCTCATGAAAAGAGAACCACTGGTATTTCCCTAATGTAATAAGGAAAAGTAAAGTTAGAATTCTTTATTTATAGCGAGATATCTTTATTTATAATATTAAATTCATTTAACTGTCAACCTTCATCGGGGAATTTTAGATCAACCAATATCGGCAACTGTGTCGATTAACGAAGCTATTCAAACAAACAGTCTTGCAACAACGGTTCAAGTTAGGTACATAAAAAAATACTTAGAATTTTAAGAGTAATCTAAAAATGCAATTAAAACGTACCCTTCCTATTTAAAATAAGAAATTTTAGCCTAATCCAAGCCTATACAAAATTTAATCAACTTAATTCTAATAATTCCTGAGATATGCGGGTTACTTTTGACTAGCTCTGTATAAAAGTTTGAGAGCTAGTCTCATTCCTGTCCCATATTTTACGAAAATAGCTACACAACAATCTTGCTGAATTTAAACTCACTGTTCTGTTTTGTTCTGTTAGGTGTGTCTATTTTTTTGTGTCAAGATCAACATTAAAATTTCTTACGACTACTTTTCTAATCAGAAAGAAGCTCCCAAAAAGAATAATTTCATAGCTTTTCAAAACCAAATTAAGTCTATATTCGCACTCTAACAACAATCACTATCATATTTCAACACCTGATCCAGAGTGATCCTAACCAAAACTGAACAATACCAATGATACATCAGTATATCAGTATATACCATATCATTTTTAATTAAATTAACATCAGGAGTTATAGTTTTGGCTTACGCAGAAGAACACTTCATACAAATGAGTATTGAAGTGAACTTTGCCTTCTAACTGTAGTCAGTTTAATATTTTTTTAATGTCTTATTTTAATAAAAGTGTATTATTATTATTATTATTATTATTACTAAGTAAGTACAAGAAATGTTACCTTGGGGTTAACAAGTACTTGCGAATGGCAACAGATTGGGACAAGATTATCTGAGGGGATCACCTTCTTCCATCAGATCTGTACTATTTCCGCATATGCAAAGTAGTAGGTGGATGATGGTAGGTGGATGTACAGAATTAAATATTCCAGAGTTGGAAACATTTCTATAGGGATCACTATGTCCTCCTAGATACCTTGTCGAAGCGACCTTCATATCTGTGCTAAGTTAGTGCTAAGCCTTAACAATTGTGTCTCCTTACACATTACACAGAACACTCTACATGTACATGTTTTATTTCGTTCGAAATATAACCTTTCTAAAGTTTTGGCAAAACGTTAAAAAATCTGAACTTGCTACCAATGAGTTCTCTTCAAAATTTTGAATAACTTTTTTCGTTGGCAGATTTTCCAGAAATTATATTATCAATAATAAACCATAGGTTTACTAATCGAAGATCTTGTTTCAGCTTGTCGGCAAATGGAATATGGCGTTCAAGCGATATTTGGACCGTCAGATCCGATTTTAGGCGCTCATATTCAAAGTATTTGCGAAGCATTGGACGTGCCACATTTGGAGGCCAGAATTGATTTCGAACCGTTATCCAAAGAGCTTAGCATAAACCTACATCCCAGCCAAGAAAATATGAACAAGGCGTTCAAAGATCTTATGAACTTTCTGAATTGGACCAAAGTTGCCATTATATACGAGGAAGACTATGGTAAGAATAATTATATAAATGTTTTGTCCGAAAATCTCATCTTTGCCTCTACCGTTCCATACGAATACAAATTAGTTCTCCCTTTTTTATTTCAGTATCTCTGGTTGGCGGAAAAGGTTAGATTCTTCACGATAATAACGTTTCTTTTTATTCAGCACTTTGGCGACCAGGCTCTGGCTTTATAGCTAACAATTTCGTTTTCTAACTCCAAGCAACTTGTTCGAATAGCTTGCGCATTTTAACATATTTTTTATAATTTTTAAAATCATTTTAATATGTGATGTAATACATTTTTCCATTGGTCCTAAGTAAAGTTTTTTCATTAAAAAAATATAAAAGTTTTTTAAAATGCTCTGATAATTCTAAAACTATTTCTAATTATAGATTCCAGTATCCAGCAGGTCATGTTTGTGATAAAATATCCAATCTAATTGTTACTAAACTTGTTTGTGTTGTTAAGTGTGACCTCAATAAGTAGCAGATACACAATACTGATATTGCAAAGTGCAGGAAAATTAATCAATAACAACAAATACCACACCCAGTGAGATACTATTTAACTTACCTAGATTAGGACTCCAAGTTATATTTTGTAGTATTTTGGATGACTTCGGATATATCGTTATTTCAAATTCCGGAAATTAATTTTATGATTTTTATGGCCCACTGTGTCTTGATTTTTGATTGGTGATTGATTTTATCTCATTTTCTCGGTATATAGGGCTATGCTTATTAAACAATAAATTTGATAAATGAAATACTTTCAATTTAGTAAAATTAAAATATATTTTATGGTCAATGGTCAATTGAACTCAACTTTCTATAAGAGAATTGATATGAAAATCAGCATATAAGAAAGTAAGTTATTTTATTGTTTACATATTTAAAGTATACTCAACATTTTCATGGTTCCCACTTAGGGGTGCATTTCGCTGCCTAAAATAAGAAAAATGTGGGACATAATACGCTTTGTTCACAAGATACAGAATGTCAAGGTTTCAAACTTCCTGTGTTTTTTTTTTCAATTTCCCCAGATAATCCGGGAAAAAAGAATTGAAATTTGATGTACTTAATACGTATTAAGAACTCAATATTAGGTGTTTTTCAATATCAACAAACCATTGGAGGTGATCCTCAATTGAACCGTCCCGAACTATTTTGCAGGAGCTTCTGCTTTCTCGTAAAAAGGTTCCTGTTTCATTTGGGAACTTTTTCTCACAAAAAATTGTCTTATCGGGTTGAATTGAGTACAAAAATGTATCACCATCACCAAGCGTTGAAAAATCCTCAATATCCTTAAATATTATGTAATACATATACATCAAATTTCAACTACAAAACATTACACTTTTTTTTATTTTATCACACTGTATATACAAGATACTAAAATGGTAAGATCTGATTTAATTTTCTTGGTACCAAATTTGAGCCAAAAAAATTTTTTTAAAACATAGATGCAGCGAGGTATAGTTGGTGTATTACCTTCCTGTGTGTATTTATGATATTATGTATTTATATTTTAACAATTATCCCTAGCCTAAAATTGATATTTTCCGTAATCATTTTCGGAAGTGCTCGAAAGAACCACCAGAGTTGATCCAAAAGGATTTTAGAACTTCGAAAAATAAAATTTTCCTGCAAATAAAGTCACAGGGTTTTTGTAATATCAATTCATTAATCTTTGCTTTATTCCTTGTTTGCAATGTAGCAAATTGTCGCCAATTACCAATTTTTATCAAAAATATTTTAATTCTCAATTAAAGGCAATAGTGAACATAACTAATTTTATAGAAAAATTAAAAAACTACTGCCCTGGATTGGATTACCCTTTCTGTATGGTTAGCATAATTTTTCCGCGACCATGCTATGGAGGGTAGACTTAGCGTTTTGTGGCCTAACGGTTTCACATATTCGTCCAGCTATAGTTTTCTTTATTGTTACAATTTTTTTCTACAATGCTTCATATGTAATCATTCACGGTCCTCTCTGGCAAATCAATGTCCTTTTCTTTTTACCATCCGCTCAACCTCCGCTTTGTCCACGATTCTCTTGAAATATCCTCTAAAATGCCGAAATGATAGCTTGTGTTTTCCATCGCTATCAAACTCTTTGGAGGAAAATTTGGTAGCAGCTGATTTTTAAATCAATTTTCAAAATTTTACCTGTTTAGTCTACATTTAATAAATTCTTAGTTTCATCTTTCACTAGCTTTTTTGGAACTTGTAGACATAGTGTTGTCATGCCAACTGTGTCTAAATAAATCTTTACTAAAAACTTCATCAGTAAGTACGATGTCATAAGCAACTTCTAAATATTGATTTTTGATATATTCCATTAAGAAATTGATTCTCTTGTAAACGATCTAAAGTAAATCGATCCTTTATTTTCTATTATTTGACTTCCTCCACTATTTTGTTCTTTAAGCAATCTGTAATTATTGCTTTTACCTCTTTTTGCTTTTGAGACATTCCGGAAATAAAGGATCGCTAGTTATTTCTCTTTTCTTAATGTTAATATTTGTTGTATGGTGGAGTTGCATTTGAAGCTCGTTGAATTGTCGATTTGCGAAAGGTTTCCGTTTCTAGCTTGCTATTTTTCCAATTCGTCACAACAAAATCAATGTCAGTTCTGACGAATTTATTCTGAAAGACATAACCAAAACCGGCATAGACTGTTATAAAGACAGTGATTTTTTTCAAAATTTTTTCTCTGTCAGTTGACATAGATTAAACAAAAATAAGTTAAAAAGAAGTTAATGCGGCAACTATACGACGGTTTCCTGAAAATTTGTTGCAAATTCTAAACTGATTCGCGATCTATTTAAGCTAAGAACTTGTAATATACGGTTTGATAGTTGCGCTTAAATGCGTTAAATTCTGATTATTCGCTGCTTAACAAATTTTGAAACATTCCAGCTGCAAAACCAATAGAATACACGGATCACAAGCAAAAAAATTACACCTCACTAAACGCCAATTAAACAGCATTAACCTAGAAACCGTGCATTAAATCTTCCTAGTAAAGTTGTTTCTCGCAATAACCTAGTTTAGGAGTGGCCTATCATCGGAGCATTCGCCATCAATCATATCGGCATTTTCCGGGGCCATCGCCTCTTATAACGTTTCTCCCACTGCCAAATAAAATTCGTGGGTAAAATTTTATATAAGAGGGAATTTCTGTTGAGCAACGTGCATTAAAATGGAAATTGATCGAGTTTATTCATTGAATAAATTTTTTGGTGTTCAAATATGAAGTAGATTAAATAACGCCCCTATAAAATTTTATGTCGGGGGTTACCAGTGATTGTGAGGCCTGATGAAATTCATAAAAACCGATTTAAATTATGAAGAGACGCGATATAGCGACTAATGTATTCGGGATTTTCGGCAAAAAATTCTCTCATTTACATTAGTTGGTTTTGCAAAAATGTTTTGAAAAGATAGGGAGAGAAACTTGAGATATTCGAAAAATAATTTTTTTCAGAATTCATTAGTACTACTAGATTATTAGTCCAGGGGAGTCAACGAGAGAATAAAGTTAATTATCTCATTGGTTCCAATAGAAAATGGTAAATACAAAAGTTGTAAAGTATATAGTGGATAGTGGATCGAAAAGGCGTGACAAATAAAAAAAAACATTTCAATAAATGGAATACCTTATTTTAAAATTTTGATTCGAATTCCTTTCTATTAAGAATAATACATACCTAAACAAATATTTATTTATTTTTTAAAATATACCTTCACACTCGAAAAAAAAAATAGGATAGCGCCATTATTTTTGTTTAGTAGTTAGGAAGAACATTAAAATTTCAAGGTGACAGGGTGTTCAAATTAAACGAAAGTATTTGGATCACTTTAAATTGAAAAATCTCGATTTTTCTTAAATCACATACCATACATATTATTCTTTTTTCAGAAATATCTTACAAAAACCAACTTTTATTATGTATTTCATATGCCTATTTTTATTGCTTTGCGATTTATTTTAACTTTTCCAATATTTACTATTTTTAGATAACTATGACAGAACTGTAAGCCAATAGATTAAAAAATGAGCAGTTGAAAGAATTTGCTTGAAGGTGGTAGACACTCATTCAGTAGAAATACTAAAATGATGTAGAACTTCGGACAGTTGTATCACTACCTGTTATCAAGTGTAAACTAAACTTAATTCTAAGGCTACAAGGTTTATATACTAGACGACGGCGCTCATTCATGACGGAGTCGGGTGTAGTCAAGCGTGAAGTAGTTCCACTAGAACGCCAGCATTGGTGCGCCTTATTAGAGGATGCCAAATTGTTGCTATATCCACGCTTGGATTGCTGAGGATGTTTTCATTCTTTCTAATGAAAACTGATTCTTTAAATTTGCGCTTTCTTCAATGCTGCTCTCTGTGAACAACCCGCGCTCTGGACCATTGGATGTTGTGTTGTTTGGTCCACACATGTTCTGCGATACCTGATTTTTGCGTTTCACCCTTCATTGTATGTTACTTATGTTCTTCAACTCTTATTTTTAGAAGTCGTTTGGTTTCGCCAATATATGACTCTCCGCTATCTGGTAGATACACTCTTTCTTTGGAGTCAACGTTTCAGGCTTTGTTTTTGTGAGTATACTTCTTAATATTGATCCAGATTTAAATACAGTTTTAACTTGATATAGTTTAGCTATTTGCCTAGTCTTTTCTGATATTCCTTTCACGTATGGGATCGTCAAGAGAGAAAGAGTATCTACCTCACATGGTTCCGGTGTTGTTTCCCGCTTACAATTTGTTATTATTTTGTTTATAGATTTTTCGGAGTAACCGTTCTGAAGCAAATCCTTTTTAATATTATTCAATTCGGCATCGAGAGACGCTTGGTCGCTACATATTGTGATTGCTCTTTTGCACAGTGTTTTAATTATTCCTAGTTTGGTTGCTTCAAAATGGTTAGATTCAAAATTTAGATACTGTCCTGTCTGGGTAAGTTTCCTATATATAGACGTGTTAATAGAACC